TGTTTCTTCACTCGAGGTGACCCCAACATACACCCCTTTTGCAAGTCATCACCCCCAAATGGTGATTAGTTGCAATGAAAACGGGCACCTCGAAATTCGAGGTGACCCCTACACCATCTTGTAATTTTCTCGGTTCACACTTTTAGATTCTTAGATTAGAAAGTATTTATAGACTGAATCTTTCACTTGGTTTGTAGAAAAATATTAATTATTATTTATAACTTTTTCACATCATGTTTTTGTGTTTTTGTCCTCTTTTCGGTGAAGCTGGTGTCCGTCTCCTGTCACTGTGAGAGGTGGTGGACACCTGGACAGGGACACAGAGACAAACAGCCATTCAATAGGGACAATTAAGAGTTAACCTAACATGTACTTTATGTGTTTGTTCTGAGGGAGAAAACCCACACCTGCACAACAAMAACATGTAACCTGCTGTGAGGTGAGCACTCCTCTGCTGCACCTGCTCCTGATCTGATTTATACTGAATATGAGTTTACTCTTCAGGATTAAAGGTAATGTAAGTAACATTACGTCAGTTATTTTCTGTCTTTATGCTCTTCAGTCAAAGWTGAATTTTTGTTTTGTAATCATTAAACTGTTTTTGTCATTCAGAGCTCAGTCTGCAGTGTGTTAGTGACATCTGGTGCTCCTGTCAGGCATCACAGGGACAACTGGGCCTGATGCCTCAGTCCCATGAGCTGCTCTGTAGATGAACTTCACCGCTCRGACCAGCAGAGGGAGCCAGAGATAACTAACGGTAWCCAGCACTGACCTACAGGCTTCATCTCTGTTCACCTGGGGATAAAATGAAACAGAAACATGATCTTGACATGAGAAATATCTCAGGGAGCTCGTTTAGTTTTCTCTCCATTCGTCCCTAACATCAACATGAAACATGGMTCAGAACCAGCAGAACCTTTCTGACGAGCCGAGAAGATCTGGTTTGTTTTTCGTGAAAGCAGCACACATGTGTATAAAGTGAACTCTGCTCTGAAAACTATATTTTCTTTATAAATGTGTCTCCATCAAAGAGCAAATAAAGAGCATTTCCAACATTATTTTACTGTTACAACAAAAAACAATCAAGCAAACACAGATCTTCTTATTTCTATGTGCTGTTTCATTAAAGCTGGCCTAAAGCCTTAGCATTAACTTTTTATCTTAGTTTTCTTTGTTAGCAAAATAACTCTTCAGTCAACACATTTGATTTTTCAGGTCCCTGATTATGACCTTCAGGACATTAGATGTTTTAAATTGATTGTGTTTTAGCAGGATTTTAGCCGAAAGAGTAAAAAATATGTAGTTTCAAATATTTTGTAAATGAGTTGAATAAAAGGTTTTGTCTCTGAAAACTTATAGTTTCCTTTCTGAAGCTTTATTAAAGCTGCTCTTTGCTCCTGACATTTCCTTTCATGTCTGACATTCCTTTGCTTTTTTTGTGTCGTCTTTCAGAACCGTTTCTTTTTCTTTTTCAGAGAAAGATGATGTGAAAGGGCGCAGTGAGGATGAGAGGCTCAGCTCAGTCCTGATGGATCTGTTGTTAATTGAAGCAGCAAACGCTGCAGCACGTCTCTGCATCACGTGTCCTCTGGTCCAGGTTTGACCCACAAATCCCTCTGCTTCTCTTKGTCTCATCTCTTTCTCTTTAAGTCACAAACACATCAGATAAAACTGAGTCAGGGACCGCTGAGGGTCAACCAGTCCTGCAGAACCACAGGAACATCTGTGTCACACCCTCGGASCAAAGTCGGACCCTTAAGGACTTCCCTTTGATTCTGGTCCTGTTCATTGTTTTCATGGTCAGGATCTCAGGGTGCAGTTCAGATCACAGCTTGAGTTTTTATATAATCATACATTTTCTCTTAATTAAATAAGAAAAAAATTAGGCCTGTCAAATGATTAATATTTTTAATTTGATTAATCCGTAAGTAGCTGTGAATTAATCATGATTAATCTTTTTCTATTGCATATTGATAAAATAAATTACTTGAATTATTAATTAGTTTTAATGTTTTTATTTAGAAAACAAAATTAGTGCTTAGATGNGGTGAAAATTTCATGTCATTAGCACCTCTAGTAATATATTTACTGAGAAAAATGGTGACGTGTTCAATACTTATTTTACCCGCTGTATCTTTGTAGGATTTGGCAGGCTTTTATTTGTTAACAGGACTCTGCCCGGAAGTATATAATTGTCTGTTTCCATGTTAGTGCGAACTTGAGAGATGCTCTGATCACGTCTGCCCGGTTCCACTCGATCTCTCTTGCATATAATATACAGTATGCATTTCTATTAAATAATCTGAGACCAGACCACGCAGTTTCACTTTGTTTATTCATGTATTCCTGCCTGGTGGAATATTTTCCACGACACATGAAATACAAATATTTTTAAAGTAAAATCCTTTATTTTTAACGATTAATCTAGCTGCCAGTGTGACGGCCTGCTTTTGTTTTAGTCTGTGCACTTGGAGAAAATCTGCCATATGGTCAAGCAGCAAAGGCTCATGGGACATTTCATAAAATGATAAAATATGAGTTTTTGTGACCTTATAAAGTGTACAAATTTACATGTGTGTTTAAAGCTAATCTAAAAATCCCTTCTTTTACTTGCATTTCACTGTTTCTATAAAGGACAACAGGTTACAGCTGCTGGTGGGCCACATCTGACCCCACTTTGAGCTCCTCTGCTCTATATAAAAATAAACTGAATTGAATCAATAAAATGTGCTTGTATCATTTTAGCACAATTTTGTGAGATCAAGTCATTGTGTTATAGTTGGTTAGCTGTGGTGGCCATCTTGAATTAGGTTGACAACAGTATCTAATTATTATTTTAAAGTTTCATTAAAATCTATTCAGTGGTTTCATCAGATATAATTGTTTGTATTGATGCAGTTAAGAAAAATACAACAATAAAGCCAAGATTTCAAGGGTTTTTATTCTTTACTGTAGAAACACTGTACATAAATTACTTTCTCTGAGACTAATATTGATGTACGGATAAATGGAGTTTTTAACCTTCAAAATAAAGGTCAAGCCACACAACACTGTGGACTTGTCTGAAAACCTAAAAGACTGGCAGCATATGACTCTGTGTAAAGTTGCTTTCCTACCTTTTTGTAAACACATGTACACACAGAAAAGTCCTCTAAAACAACAGAGACCCACAATCAGGAGAAAATATCCACATCCACTTTTCATCAGTTCTTTTCACTCAGGGACACGCATCGTCCCTGTAAGAAGAAACAGGCAAAAACAAAGACAGAAGCAACTAAACTGTTGCTACTTACAGCTACAGCCCGTCCCCTGCAGCCACGGCAACATGTTTCTACTGCGAGCATCACTACAACCTCTGACCCACAAAAACCACAAGGTCTATGCATCATGAAGCAAAGTCATGTTCTGTAGAAGTGAAGGACTCCGGTTGCAGGAGGACTACTGAGCCCACTTAGTCTACAAATGACCCCATGTAGTCAAAGCAGCTGTGGCTCGGTGGTCCCGATGAGTTTCAGACCCTGGGGGGACAATGAGGGGTGCTTGTAGAACTGATCAAACAGCTCATCAGTAGGAAAGAAAAAAGAAAACACAACACAAAGTTTAAAGTTCATATCATGGTCCTTTGTGTTGGTGACAGTGTAGTTATATCAGTAATAGTGAGATACATGTAGATAATAGTATGTAAACACTTTTTTGTTGTTTTTTATTTACCCTTTATTCTGAAGCAAATGCAAGTTTATATATATATATATAAAAAAGTCCAAACAAAAAATATCAGTCTTATTTCTGTTTTTCTCTTTGTACAAATTGTAGTCCGTTACTGTGCCTGTCTCTCTTAGAGAGAGTCCACAACCGTTCCTCTGGAGGGCTTCAGCCATGGAACAATAAGTCTTATAGACAGGACCGGACCCGTCTGAACCCACAACATGTCACCTGCCACACCTGGGAGGAATGAACAGTTTCTATGGGGTTTGTAAAGTTACACAGTCAAAAACTACCACCAATATTTTAGTTTTATTTAGCCTTTTATAAGAAAAAAAGAACAGATTTATTTTTCAAAGTCAGTCTTTCACCATATGATTCATACATTTATAAATGTCATAGTTRATAAACTAAATATTTAACTTACAAATTAAATATTTAGTTAACAGGCTAAATATTTAACTTGTGAC